AATTGAAAATGGGTGTGGCGACGCCCACTTATGGACCAAAAACCATATCTCAGGAAGTACTCAAATGATTTCAATGAAATTCGGTATATAATATTTTCTTAACACCCTGATGATATGTACCAAATATGGATGAAATCGGTTTACAACCACGCCTGAAATCTTGATTATCACTTTATCATGCGAGAATATAAAATGTTCGGTGATACCCGAACTTAGCCCTTCCTTACTTGTTACTATTAAGGTATGAGCATTGCATGTGAATGCATATGTCTGTTTATGTAATTGTATATATGTATGTATGGTTGTATATATGTCCAATTTACTGGAAGATAGATATTTATGTTTAGTGGACTGTATGAGTTTTTACATATTTATGTGTTTGATTTTGTATACATATTTATGTTTTATAGTATCTCGGTTTTGCTGACACTAAACAAGTAAGCATGTTCAATGACATTTGAACATATTGCCAAGGGAAAGAAATTACTATTTAAAACAAGTAAGGAAGGGCTAAGTTCGGGTGTCACCGAACATTTTATACTCTCGCATAACAAGTTTCATCAAGATATCTCAATTTTTGCTCAAGTTACAGCTTGCACGGACAGATAGACCGACATCCGGATTTCAACTCTACTTGTCACCCTGATCAATTTGGTCTATGTAACCATATATCTGACGATATATACCGTTATTAGCAACTTTATTGCAGGAATATAAAAATTAAGCCCTCTGAATTACATGAAAATATCTGAGAGGTTTACCAATATTGTCGGTGAAAAATTAGGTTAGGTTAGGTTAGGCATTGAGTTCTTCGTGTTCGATATCAGGGACCTTGAAAAGTTATAGTCCGATCACGACAATTTTTCCACAAGGGATACCTCAGCTCAAATACCGCATTTGTGTAATGTTTTATGCCGCTATCATCATTGGTTCCTAACGTATATATTATACAGAGCAGGCATCAGATGGAATTCAAAATAGCGTTATATTGGAAGAAGGCGTGGTTGTGAACCGATTTCACCCATATTTCGTACATGTCATCAGGGTGTTAAGAAAATATTATATACAGAATTTCATTGAAATTTCGCCCATTTCCAATTTTTAAAAAAAGCCTGGGCGCAGCTTCCTTCTGCCATTTCTTCTGTAAAGTTTAGTGTTTCTGAAGTTTTTTTTTTAGTCGGTTAACGCACTTTTAGTGATTTTCAACATAACCTTTGTATGGGAGGTGAGCGTGGTTATTATCAGATTTCTTCCATTTTTGAACTGTATATGGAAATGCCTGAAGGAAACGTTTGGTTGACATATGTAGCTATAGTAGTTTCTGAGATATGTACAAAAAACTTAGTAGGGAACGGGGCCACGCCAACTTTTCCAAAAAAAATTACGTTCAAATATACCCCTCCCTAATGCGATCCTTTGTGCAAAACTTCACTTTAATATAGTTATTTATGGCTTAGTTATGACACTTTATAGGTTTTCGGTTTTCGCCATTTTGTGGGCGTGGCAGTGGGCCGATTTTGCCCATCTTCGAACTTAACCTTATTATGGAGCCAAGAAATACGTGTACCAAGTTTCATCATGATATCTCAATCTTTACTCTCTGACGGACAGACAGACATCCGGATTACAACTCAACTCGTCACTCTGATCACTGGTATATATAACCAAAAATGCTCTATTTTGTCTTTTAGTCCCTTTTCTTTCTTTCGGTTGCATTTAGGCTTTTCGCTACCCCGGTATTTATTTCAGAATCGCAATTTTGAGGGTTATAACTTATTTTAAATTGTGCCCATATGCTATGTTAGCAAATCTTGCCATATCAAAAATTTTCCACCGTTTTATTAAGATTCTACAAAGAAATGTTATTGATACGATCTCCTAGCTACCTCCGCCCTATTCTTTTTATATATTTAAGTTTATATATCAGATATATATAGTCCACTAATTATACTCTCGCAACAAAGTTGCTAAAGAGAGTATTATAGTTTTGTTCACATAACGGTTTTTTGTAAGTCCTATAGGGTTATATATACCAAAGTCATCAGGGTGACGAGTAGAGTTGAAATCCGGATGTCTGTCTTTCCGTCCGTCCGTCATAAGTAAAGATATTAAAGTGAAATTTGGCACAAAGGATCGCATTAGGGAGGGGCATTTTTGGACGTAATTTTTTTGGAAAAGTTGGCGTCGCCCACTTATGGACCAAAAACAAAATTTCAGTGAAATTCGGTATATAACATTTTCTTAACACCCTGATCGAAATCGGTTCAAAACGCTATTTTGAATTCCATCTGATGCCTTCTCTGTATAATATTTACATTAGGAACCAATGATGATAGCGGAATAAAACATTACACAAATGCGGTATTTGAGCTGAGATATCCCTTGTGGAAAAATTGTCGTGATCGGACTATAACTTTTCAAGGTCCCTGATATCGAACACGAAGAACTCAGTGCCTAACCTAACCTAATTTTTCAACGAAAATATCGGTAAATCTCTCAGATATTTTCATGTAATTCAGAGGGCTTCATTTTTATACTCTCGCAATAAAGTTGCCAATAACGATATCGTCAGATATATCTTTACATATACCAAAGTGATCAGGGTGACGAGAAGAGTTAAAATCCGGATGTCGGTCTATCCGTCCGTGCAAGCTGTAGTTAACTAAAAATTTAGATATCTTGATGAAACTTGTCATGCGAGAGTATCAAATGTTCGGTGACACCTGAGCTTAGTACTTCCTTACTTGTTAAGTGTACAATTCAATACATATGTGTATATGTGTTTTATGTTATCTGATATCGGGTTCTAAAGTGTAAATGTATGACTTGTGATTACATATTTAGTTTACGATTCCTATATGCATTTTATTATTATTGTGCATGTAAATGAATACGTCTGTTTATGTAATGTATGTACGTATGGATGCATGCATGTTCAATATATTTGAACATAGGCATTTATGTTTAGTGGACTGTATGTGTTTTTACATATTCATGTTTTATAGTATTTCGGCTTTGCGGACACTAAACAAGTAGGCCTGTTCAATAAAATTGAACACCTTATATATAATAACAAATATCAGGTGTTTCGAACATAGTTAACTTTAATAAACATATAAGTATTATATAAATATATAACGTAATAGAATAAAAAAATTCTTAGGTTACCCCGGGTATTGACTCGACTAGAGTTAATTTTTTTAAGCACCATTATTTTATTTTAATATAAAGAATTGTTATATTATAATACAATAATATATATATTATATTATTATCATATAATTTTACTTATCAGTGCTTATTAAATATAAATCACATATTATTCATATATACAAGGTGTTTTCCAAAGTAAACAGGACTTTTAAAAATAAAAAAGAACAAATGGTTTTTTCGGCAAAATCAATTAATTTTATTCAAAATAGTCTCCTTCTGCTTCCATACAGCTTCTTGCACGGTTGAAAAGCATGACCAACGAGTATTTTAGCTCGTTGGCCGGTACGGCCGCCAGTATGCCGGTGCAAGCCTTTTGAATGGTTTCTATGTTTGCAATACGGTTTCCCTACATTGGCAATTGCATTTTTCCGAAAATAAAGAAGTCTCACGGTGTCATATCAGTTGAATACGGGCAGTTATTAATGGTTAAAATGCGATTTTTGGTCAAATAATCGTCTTTCGAATATTGGATTCTGAGCAATTTTTGATCGTCAGTCAATTTGTGTGGAACAAGCCGTGCACACACCTTTCGTTAGCACAAATGTTCGGTCAAAATGCGATAAATCGATGTTTTGTAAGGAAAAAGTGAGTAAACAAGTCAAATATACTCGATTAGAAATGTTGTAATAAATTTTTTTATAGTTAGTAAAGAAAAAATTATCACGGGAAAGCACAAACAAAGGAAACGCTGTCGTCAAAAATTCTTCTTACTTTTTTTTTTAGTTGTCAACGCTGGTTTTCCTCATAATTGTGAACAACCTAATCTTTTCAGCCATGAGTGTTAAGTGATTTTTAAATTAAAAATGGCTAAAAAATTACAAAATAAAATTGAAATGTGTATCTTTGTTTTTAAAGTGCATATTTCAATATTCAAAGGGAAAAATGTGAAAAATGTTATTTGTACCAACTTTAGAATTTTTAATCGCGAATATTTTAAAAAATATTATGTTAGCAACATTGTTTTAACTCCTCTGGAAAATCTCCCCTATCCGCGTAGACCCCATTGTATATTGTCCACATTGTTATCCGGCTAACTTTCAAGGTGAAACGCCAGGGATATGTTGTGCTAATGCAAAGGGAGATTACCAGCATTAAAAACTCCACCCGAACCATTGTATGCATTAATTTTTGGGACATCTCAAACGTCGAAGCTTTTTATGAGTCATGTTCAATAATACAATTTTACAATTCAAATGACCTATTTTAGTCTTACAAAAATTATTATACTTTTGCAACCCCTTGCTGTTGGCAGTGAAAAAGTTGTTGCCAAATTTGATTGAAGCTACGATCTTAACTGCTAAATCAGAAGGAGACGTTTTTTGAAACCGCGTATCCCTATGATTTCAACTGATATGCCATTTCAATTCAAACGATTACAATTAAGATTTAAAATAAACAGTAATGAAATATTTTTTTTTGCTTGTATAAATGAATTTGATGTTAAAAAAAATTTTATTACTATATCACTTTATACGTAGCGAAGCGCAATGTACATTAGTTAGTATATGCATACAATATATATATATTTATATTTCAAAATCACCGCCAATTTTGCAATAAAGGTTTCCGTTACGTTGGACTGAAGGAATATCTGTGCAAATTTTCACGTCTTTTCGCGCTTTAGTTCGAACGTTATGGGGGAACATAGCGAAAGAGAGTTTCATTGTTATATATTACATAAGATTATTACGATTCCAACCAATTATCTGTAGATTAATTTTAATACCGTGGCTATGTACCTATCTTTATATAGTTGACTTAACTGTTTAACCTTTACATGTTTAAAGAGGATCTCCGTGGCGAAATCATGGTACCGGCAGCTAAGAAACTCGAAGACCTCATACATCTGGCTGAACTTTGTGTTGATCTGTTGCAACAAAATGAAGAGCACTATGCTGAGGTATGTAAATAAAAACACAGCAATAATATGTTCTATTTTTTTTCTTATGTAAGTATATACTTTATACTCTCTGTAGCTAAATATATTTGTATTTGTGTAATTACAAAATATAATGATATTTACAGGGGAGGTATTGTGTATGCGTAACATAATTTACAACATGTATAGTAGTATATTCTCACATATACATAGTATGTTATTATATTAATATGGAAGAGTGAACGCATTTATAAACTTACCTAACTACTATATATAAATATGTGTATAAATAAATACAAATCATTTACCTATATGTTTTGACATTACAGGCCCGTCCATATAGACAAGTAAAGAAATTGCCTAATGCTCAAGAATTTCAGGGCAGTATTTTAGCTAACTTTCCCTGCATAGTTTATTTCAATAAAATTCATTTACCAAATTGTTTTATTCATATCATTTGTACATAATACTAGAGGAAAAACAACGAATTGCTGATTCTGAGGAGTTTCTTTTATTATAATAAAACCGAATCTTTACGTCTGAGTATAACAATAGAAACATGGCTCCATCATTTCACATTGGAGTCCAATAGACAGTCAGCCTAGAGTACTGCACAATATGAACCAATCCTTAAGGGGGTATTTCAGTCTAGAAATCAAATTTTGGGATTTTGAATTTTATTTACAAAAAACCAAAAAATATTTTTTTTTTATCAATTTTTTTATGGTCTTTTTATTGATGTCTTAAGAATACAGGAAAAAAATTTTACAATAAAATATTAAAAATTAAAATAATTAGAGGGGGACAGAGACAGGTGTAAAAAAATGGCGCATCCTGGCGACATTGATCCTAACTCTCCTGGTGGTCTAAAAATAGAAATCAAAAGAAATTCTTAATCAGTAAGGATGCTGTTATAGTCCCTACCTTAGGGAACACGAATTTTTTTTTTTTAATGGCGACTGCCTGAAAATAAAAATAATTTTTTACGCTTTTTTTGAAATTCCTGATATCTCTCTAAAATATTTAAAAAAAAAATTTTGACACGATGCTGGTAGGAACGATAAAGGATTATATAAAGAAGGTTTACACAAATTCAAGTAAATCGCTTGTATAGAACTTGAGTAATGCCGGTATCGTGTGAAAAAAAGTAGTTTCGAGAAAAACGCGTTTAAAAAAAGTCAAATTACAGGCAGTCTAAGTCATTTATTAGTGCGCTATGTACTGTGTCACTAAAGTAACTGTAGCTCTTAAAACAATTTTAATTTTTAAAAATCCTTTGGAGGCTAGGTTCTTAAGGGTCTAAACTTTAAATATATGAAAAAAAATAATGGAATTTTTTAAAACTCTAGAGTAGAATACCCCCTTAAACGTGGAAAGACGGAAAAGTTGGCTGGCAAGGTTATGGCATCAGTCTTTTACCGATTACTGAGCCAGTTATGATTCATAGCACTACGCATTTGGTTGCAGTTCTATTCTACCATTTTCAATATTCTGCAAGTGTATTGTTTTTAAGGAAGGACCCTTTTGAAATTGTTTGCACATACTGTGCAGCTCTTCGAAAGTATTTCTGTATATCTAAAATTATACTAGACCATTTTATCAACACTGCAGTTATTATTTTATGTTAGATGTCGCGTTTGGTTTGTTCGCCCATAATCTAATAAAGTAGCCGCAATGCCTTCACGACGAAAATATTAATGCCATTTTTTGTTTGATATTAAAAATGTCTGATGGGTTCGCCTTAAAAAAACTGCCTTCTTCAGGAGCAACAATCAGTTTAACCCATATACTATGTAAGTATGCATTAGCTCTGTTTTGTTATTTTTCAAGTTATAAAATCTTCAATTGAATTTTGAACACATGCTTATTATTTGAATTATAATTTCGGTATTTGTGGATAACAACAGCGCGCCAGTCGTTTCTTCTTTTCGCTACGTGGCACCAATTGGATATTCCAAGCGTAGCCAGGTCCTTCTCCACCTGGTCCTTCCAAGGGAGTGGAGGTCTTCCTCTTCCCCTGCTTCCCCCGGCGGGTACTGCGTCGAATACTTTCAGAGCTGGAGTGTTTTCGTCCATCCCGACAACATGACCTCGCCAGCGTAGCCGCTGTCTTTTAGTTCGCTGAACTATGTCAATGTCGTCGTATATCTCGTACAGCTCATCGTTCCATCGAATGCGATATTCGCCGTGGCCAACG